CAGAAGCTACAGCCCACAAGGGCGCACGAACCGGGCGCTTGTCCAAGAGATGTGTTCCTCGACGCACGGGGGGGGCAATTCATCATGCGTGAAGAGAGTTTCGGTTGCTTTTGTTGTACAGTATCACTATCGCCATGTATAGTGGATCCAGAAGGTTCAACGGTAGCCACCAAACATCCAAGACTAGGAGCAGGTATGATCAGCTGCATCCAACAAACATGTGATCAGATTCCCGTTGTGACCTTCAAGCCATTAGCCTTTTGAACAGTGAATGCTTCCCAACCAATAAGCAGACGAAGGGCCTGCGGTCGAAGACCACTGCCGGGACAAGCTGGGTAGCTTCTGACAGCCAAACCTAAGCCCGCTTGTTTCGGGGGCCACCGGAAGCTGGCAGGTACAAAGTGACCTTCCTGCCGCTCACGCCTGGAAGTGAGCAGCCCCAGCGGGAAGTAGATGGGAGCGGGAAGGATATTTATTTTTTTGGGGGACACCGGGTGGGTGATGGCGGGTTGGATGTTGGGTTCAAGGGGGCTGGTGAGATTTGTTGTGGGAGTCGCTTGCTCGGTCGCTGTTGTGGGCGACTCGCTGGTCGCACGCGTAGGAAGCTGGTACGACCACACCTCACGGTGCTAAGTTCACGGCACTGTCAGGCTCTTGAAGACGCCCTCAGCACTGACCCACGAATCGCCGGCTGATCGAGCAGCTGCTGGTCACTGGCCAAAGTTGAGGACGCAATGACGGTGAGAGCGGCGGCCTAGCCAGATCTGTTCGGAACTTGCCGAAATTGGCTGGTTTGCCGCAAGGGAGTCAATTGATGCCAGCTGTGACTGTGAGCACGTTATGGTGCGATATCCACTTCGGCTTGGCTGGTAGAAGTCTTGGACTCCTCAATTTGGCTGGAGAATTGAAGCAATGCTACCCCGCTTCCAGCCCAGGGCTCCAGAACTTCAGCTAGTTGGGGGCCCTTGATTCACGGAGATGTTTTGCAAGTTGCAAGGATATGAGATATCTGGCAGAATCTGGCAAATTCAAGGCTAATCCTTGGGAGGGATAAGATTTGCTTGAAACCTCTGAAGGGGTAAGACTTGCTTTGTTGCTTCTTTGCCTGCAGTAAAAAGTTAAAGGATGGGGGTCCTTCGAAGTTTACTTCATTCGTAGTCAGCTTGTCTGCTTCGAGATTGGGATTTTGCGCCAACAATACCATGAGTGAAGAAGGGTTAGTTTCCGACATGACATGTGCATAAAGATACGTATACACGCACAGGCACGTTGAATGCTATTCCTTTCATGCAGTCTCTCCATCAGGACCTGTCATTGTTCGGCGTAGACTTCAAGACTGATCCAGACGCTGTCCTTGGACGTTGGCTGCTTGGATATACTCTGCCACTGGCGGACTATTGTCAACCTCGGATCAACCAACTTTGCGGATTCATATGGTGGTGTTCCCTTTGAGAGCCAGGGCCGAATCAGGGATTATTGATCCTAGGTCAACATCAATGAGAAGAGCTGAGGGGTGGTCTGAACTCCCCTGCACACGAACATGGAACCCAGAAAGCCATGTAAGAGGAGTCTCTTCATGTTAGTTTGCAGGGGAGTACTCCAAAGGCCCAACACTTCAAGAGTTTCTCAACCTGTATTTTGTTGAGATAGGTACCCCTGGCAGAATGTGCCGTTAAGCACACTTTAGGTAACCATTGATTATCCAGGCCCTTATTTTAAAGGATATATATGTAGAATATCAGGGAGATCAGCAAAGAGACATGAGCCCTTGGAGTGAGGAGAACCCTTCAAAGTGAGATGAGCTTTAGCATGGCTGCATTTTCCGTGCGGCAGGCTACAGCTTGCAAGTCTCCATCGGCCCTGAGGGTGCCAGCGAGGCACGCCTTGCGCGCAAGTTGCGTCCTAAAAAACCAGGAGGGGAGGAGAGAGGCCTACAGGCCGGGAGCACTACTTATTTTTGTTTGCGCATGGCATTGTCTCACTTGCCCAAAGCGAATTGACCAAATCTGACCCATGTTCCTTTCCAGTTTCGGGAAGTTTTCAGCTTTAGTTTTTAGTCATGAGTCTGAACCTTCATTTTGGGTCCTTGGACAGGTCCTTGGAGTAAGTTGAAGGATAGTGGTTTGGAGCGTGCCAAAAAGGTCAACCGCAGAGCGGCACGTCTGAGACTTTCTGAACATTTCACTCCTCCCACAGCCAAGTTGGCTATAGCACGAGCAAAATGGGGTCCCAGCCCGAGAAGTCGTATTTAGGTTTGAATTTGACCTCGACTCGACTCTGGTGATTTGCTGAAGGGCGCTGTTCTTATCGGGGCAAATTCGAGCGACCTGACGGGAGGGCTTCGTGACTTCACCCAGGACAAAGGAAGGTTTGTCTCATCAGGAAACCATGTTTTGCGTATTGTCAGAAACAATCAAGGAGGGACCGGAGAATGAATAGAGACGAGGGAAGGCTTTGGGAGAAGGCATTTGTCGCTTCTTTGTTTGCCCAAAATTGCTATAGTTCGCGCAGATCGTATTTGCAATCAGCATGTAGTTGTTTGCAATCACACGGATTTACCTAGTTGTGATTTCCGGAAATTGTTTTGTGCGACTCACTGTGCAAAAGGCTTAGCTTTGCAATCGGATCTCAATCATTGCGGAACATGGTGTGTGTGTGTAGGGTTCCCAAAATCAAAGTACCTTGCTTTTTACTGGGACGGCCATTTTCTGTGGGCAGAGGGGATCCCCATTTTTCGTGATATTGTGTAGTAGTCATAGAAGTGAACTACTAAACGGCATCGCAGAAAGGCCCCCAGTCAGTCATGTGGGCAAATTATAGCAACTGGTGGGGGGATCGACAGAACACCTAATGATGAAGGTTCGTTTCTTGTGTTCATGTTTGATTTCAGGTTGGACAATTATTGCAAACCACCTACATCTCACTTATCATCGGCATAGGTTGAGATCGATATGAAAACGGCACCCCCCAAGAACAACTTGACTACCAGAAGGAATGCCCAGAACCATGATCCATCCCATCTGCAGGATCTGAACGGATGCCCCTTCCAGCTGGAGGCCGGACTTTTAGATCGAGAGGACGAGACAGGTTTGTGAGAACCGCCAGCACAGGTTGACCCAGATCCCAATCCAAACCTGAACCCTTTGTTAGGATCCGGAAATAAAGGCCATGCGTGACTTGTTTCCGCTGGTCCCTCGATCAGATAGACTATATATGACTCCGCATCTTTGCGATGGCCACCGGCCGAATCCAAACACATCTTGTAACATGTCTGACATGACCTTTCGCGCTCTCGGATTGCATGTATGTATGAGATTGTATGAGCAACAGACGAGACACTTGTAGTAGTTCTTGGTCTTTGGGTGGCCCATCCCTGTTTCCCACAGCAACCACGCGTCCCACCGGTCTTTTGAATGTCCTTTTGCAGAACAAATTGGCTCGCCATAAGCTCTATGTCACATCGTCATTTCATGTCTCCTTGCGAGGTGGAGTACTTGAGTTTGGGGAAAGCGGCGTATTTTCTGGTTGCTCATCGGTTTCTGCATTTGTTGTCGCCTAAAGCAATGCGTGAGAGAGTTAGAGAAGCAGGAACGAAGCCAGAGATGAGTAAAGGATTTGGAGAGAATTGGGACGACTAAGCGAGTTTTGAAAAGGGTGTTTCCCATCCTTGGCTTTTGTCCAACCTTTGCTTGTTTAGCAGGGCAGCCGTTTGGCATTTGCCTTTGGCTGTTTGCTTGAAATGCTCGTGAGCGGAAGATTGGATTCTCCAACTTCAAACTTTCAAGCTTAATTTGTTTAATGGAAACGTGGGAAGACTTCTTCAAGATGAGAACAAACAATTGAAATTAATGTTCCTTTTTGTCGAATGGCTGACGGGATTCCAACTTACTTTAGGAAGCTTTTTCTCAACTTGATTTAGGTATTTTGTTTCGCCCTGATTTCAGGGGATCCCATTCCACAAGGTGAGACATCCAACTGCAATACAGTTTTTATTGGCCTGGGGCTCAGGTGCGGCCTCCGACGGTGTACCACACCATTGGCGTGGTGCCTCTTAGCATGTCTTTGTGCCGGGCCAGAACCCATTTTGACATATATAGATATACTTAAACCAGGAGCGGGCTTTTTGTTGACCCGTAAGGTTGTTTTCTTAGCCAGGCCAACCATGCCCTTTGACCATTGTGTTAACAACAAAATAATGATTTCCCTTAGAGGACCCGGTTGTTGTTGTTGCTGCTGCTGTTGTTGCTGTTGTTGTTGTTGTTGTTGTTGTTGTTGTTGTTGTTGTTGTTGTTGTTGTTGTTGTTGTTGTTGTTGTTGTTGTTGTTGTTGTTGTTGTTGTTGTTGTTGTTGTTGTTGTTGTTGTTGTTGTTGTTGTTGTTGTTGTGTTGTCGTTGTTGTTGTCGTTGTTGTTGTTGTTGTTGTTGTTGTTGTTGTTGTGTTGTTGTTTGTCGTGTTGTTGTGTCGTGTTGTTGTTGTCGTGTTGTCGTTGTCGTTGTTGTTGTTGTTGTTGTTGTTGTTGTTGTTGTTGTTGTTGTTGTTGTTGTTGTTGTTGTTGTTGTTGTTGTTGTTGTCGTTGTTGTTGTTGGTGGTGGTGGTGGTGGTGGTGGTGGTGGTGGTGGTGGTGGTGGTGGTGGTGTTCGTGGTGTTCGTGGTGTTGGTGTTGGTGGTGTTGGTGTTGGTGTTGGTGTTGGTGCTGGTGCTGGTGTTGGTGTTGGTGTTGGTGTTGGTGTTGGTGTTCTTGTTCTTGTTGTTGTTGTTGTTGTTGTTGTTGTTGTTGTTGTTGTTGTTGTTGTTGTTGTTGTTGTTGTTGTTGTTGTTGGTTGTCGTTGTCGTTGTCGTTGTCGTTTTCGTTGTCATTGTCGTTGTCGTGATCGTTGTCGTTCTTGTTATGGTTATTGTTATTGTTCTTGCTCTTGCTCTTGCTCTCGCTCTCGCTCTGGCTCTTGCTCTTGCTCTTGCTCTTGCTCTTGCTGTTGCGGTTGTTGGTGTTGGTGTTGTTGGTGTTGGTGTTGGTGTTGTTGTTGTTGCTCTTGTTGTTGTTGTTGCTGTTGCTGTTGCTGTTTCTAGCTTGCGCCTTTTGCATTCAGAAGTGAACCATGCCCCATTGTCCATTCTCAAGCCGCTTTCTCCTCAAGAGGCTTAGATGAACAACCAGGTAGTTCATGCAGCTTGGATCTTGAGCCATATCCTTCGCAGCGCCTGGGACAACCGTCAAGACCGAGTGTTGGGTGAGCAGCTAACGTCTGAAGTGAGAATCTTGCAGGCTGAGCTGCATCATACACAGCGGCTTCTCAGTGGATACTCGGAGGTGGTGTCAGCTTGCGAGAGGAAAAGTGCCTTCCAAGCTCGTGTCAACGAGACCTTCATCGCCCTCCTGGTTATACTTTTTGTGTTCCTGGGTTTGCAGTGGGTCCAGAGACGGGGGACATCTGAACAGAGGTCTCAGCCGGTTTGCGACAACACTGCCAGCTCAAGCGACTCTGAGCCGCACCTTTGCGGCTTGACTCAGGCATCAAGGCCGGTCACCTGCGCTGGGCCTGTGCGTCCTTCCCACCTTGGTAAGGGCAACCGCAAGTCACAGTGATGGCGGACCAACAGGAGCTGACTCTGGATGTGGCCGAACCTCAGGTCCTTCTCCATTTTGGCCAGGACCCGAACGGCCTGACTAAGCGCCACAGGCTGTTGTTGGTGAGACTGAGCCCTGGCCGTTGGATTGCTAGCTCGCCCGATTTTGAATTGGAGGTGCTGGACCTGAATGGCCGACGTCATCGGGTCCTCACCAGAAAGTCGCCTTTCCCGGCGGACATTCGGGATGCAGTCTACGCCTTTGACCCGATCTCCCGACTAGAGCTGGAGGGCCTGAAGCGTGAAGCGAAGGCCATGGCGGTGGTGTTGGGCGACCAGGAAGTGGAGGACGTAGCTGACATGGTTTGGGTGTATGCAGATCCTGCATCCACCCTTGTCGGCAAACTCGTCCCTGAAGACAGACTGGGAGGTGCCGTGACTCTAGGCGACCGGGGACTTGTAGAGACCAACGGAAAAGTTGAAGTCATCGAGGAGATCCTGGTTGATCAGCAGGACGCTTTTGTCGAGCAAAAGCGTGGAACGCTGGGGGATTTGCGCCTTATTGGGCAGCACATGGACGCGGGTGACCGCAGGTTCATTATGTTCAAAGATGCTTTTCCCTTGCTGCGGCAGAGCGACTTCAAGGACTGGCAGTTCAAAGGACCTCGGGCGGTTCGCAAGTTCCTGGGATCAATCCATGAGAGCGGCACGGACTTAGGCAGCTACCATCTCCAGTGGGCCAAGAACTCGGGCGTCAATGCTCACACAGGCGCGTGCCACGAGCATCGTAATCTGATCGAAGTGCTACGACTTGGTCTTTGCAGAGATCAACTGGATGTGAGCAACTTGATGTCCATAGAATTGGCAGTGAGGCGGGTTGTGCAGCTGGAGGTGGCCGTCTCCCGGAATCCGAACAACCCGGGCTACTCTGGCTTGGAGGTGCTCTTGGAGAACCCATTGACCGAGTCTGGGGCAGCCTCGACAAGATCTTTGGACGAGTGGGTCACCACGCGGTTGAAGGAGAAGGCCCAAATTGGCAAACAGACCCGGCTTTTCAAGGAGGAGAGCAGCTATTCGTCCAAGTTCAAGGGTCCTGAAAACCCGGAGGATGGAGGAGGTTGGAGGAGGAAGCGGAGACCCAAAGCCAAGGCGGGCTCCAGCGCAGGAGGCGCTGGAGCCGGTGATGCCCAGGATTTGGGCGCGCCCCCCTGATCCTGCCGCCATGATCAGGGAGGAGTTTACGGGCGGCAAGCCCTGGGCGAAGTATTATGCTCACGGCGGCCCATTCCCACTAGCGCCGAGCTGGATTGAATCTCGTTTGGAGCAGGAGGGGGTGGCTTTTCCACGGCGAGGTGCATGGACAGCGAAAGCTTTGAACAACCTTGCTTTGCATGACCCGAATTCAGATTTTGACAAGTTGCTGCTCGGGAAGCCACCAAATGCGTTAGCTGACAGGTTGGTTTCAGCTTTTTGCAATGCTGGAGCGCCTCCTGATGACCTCAGCGGACCCGATGCCATCAAGGAACTGTTGGGATCCCAAGACCTCTACCATGAGGAGCCATCGAACCTTGCGCCTTACAGCTTTGAGAAGGTGAAGGTCCTGCATTCGGAGTTAGCCTCGGGATTTGCAGACAGTGGTTCCGAGGTTTGTGCGTGGAATCATCCAGAGGTTTGACACTATGGTGGAGCGTTCTCCAAGGGATCTGGCTGATCAAGGCCTATGCGACATCAAGCCTCACTGGGACCCAACTCTGAGGTCCTCGCCCAAAGAGTTGACGCGGCTGATCACACGGTTGGCCAGCAAAGGTTTGGTCTCTTTCCGGACAAGCATCAAGGAGAGGATTGGCATCTTCTGTGTCAAGAAGAAAACCCCAGAGTGGATCAGGCTCATCATTGATGCAAGGAGGGCCAACTGGGCTCATCGACCACCACCCTGCACCAGGTTGGCAACACCCCGTGCCCTTTTGGATTTGCAGTTTAAGAGGGCTTCAGCTGGCGCGCCTTGCGCGTTCGGGGTGGAGGCAGATGTAGCCGACTGCTTCTACAACTTCGTTTGCGAGGCCACTGCGTCATGGTTTGGCATTGACATGCCCTTGCCTTACAATGAGTGGGTACGACTGGGATGGGGAGGTGGCCCAATTTACTCCGACATAACTGGGAGCTTTTTCCAGCCACGCGGAGACCAGGAGCTTTACCCAGTCTTCCGAGGCCTGTGCATGGGATGGAGCTGGGCTTTGTTCTTCGCCAACGAAGCAGTGGCCTTTATCACAAGCGGCCATATAAAGACCTCTCTCCGAGGTGCGCGACCGGCTTCCGCCCCCAGATGTTAGCCTCTCAGTTGTTACTGGAGTGTATGTGGACAACATTTCAGTGATTGGGCCGAGTAGGCAACTGGTCCAAGAAGCCAAGAAGAAGATTGAGTCTCAGTTTGCGCAACTTGGCGTCCCATTGACTTGGTCTGGCCAGGAGCCTTCTTCATTGCTAGAGACCATAGGTGTCATCTTCGATTGTGACACAGGAGTCGCCCGCAACAAGCCTCGAAGGATCTGGAGAGCCTTTTTAGCAGGGAAAGAGCTGCTACGACGGAGGAGGGTGTCCTGCAGAATTCTGGAAATTTGGGTTGGCCACATGACGTCCCTCTTCATGGTTGCACCCCAAGGACTGTCTTGCTTTTTCCATATTTACAGGTTTCTGCAACTTTCAGGGAAGAGAAGAGAGGCCTGGCGTTTCAGGCCGATTCCGGAAGAGGTGAGGAAGGCTGCTGAAGGTGGCAGCCGGGCAGAAATCCTGAGGGTTTTGGACTCATTGCATTCCGAGAGCGCAGGACCTCTTGCGGACCAAGAACTCAAGCCCTCCGCTCAGTTCGGCGCTGGCCTGCGGACACAGTTTGCGGCGTGGCTACCCCTCCAGCTGGCTTCGCACGAGTGCCATTTCCAGTCAGTTGCGGGCCAAGCCTGGCAGGAGAACAATGGTGGTGAGAAGGGACCGCTACAAACTTCTCTGGAGGAGAAAGTGGCGAAGACGGGAAGACGGTCACATCACCTTGAAAGAGGCTCGGGTTGCCCTTAGCAGCCTGAAAAGAACTTGCAGAGCAGCCTCGCTACATGGCAAGCTGAAACTCACGCTGACAGACAACATCAGCTGCCTGTTGGCTTTTGAGCGAGGAAGGGCGTGTGATTTCATGCTACAGACAACATCAGCTGCCTGTTGGCTTTTGAGCGAGGAAGGGCGTGTGATTTCATGCTCAATCAGCTCTGCTGCTCGGCAGCGGCCTACTCTCTCGGCTGTGGCATCAGGTGGAGGCTTTGCCATGTTGAGACAAAGCGGAACCCAGCAGATTGGGACAGCAGATTTGACCGCGCCAAGCAGCGAAGGCAGTTTCTATATGACCGGGGACGTGGACACTTCACGCCGCAGCCGACCGTGTTGCCACCCTGGAACAGTGACCCCTTGCCGGGCTCTTCTACCTCAGTGCGGAA